CCGCGCGTCGGGGCCGCGTCTGTCACGGGCCGGGGGAGCCCGCGGGCAGCCCGGCACCGAGGGGCGGACGGGACACAGGCCAGAGCCGCCGGGGACTAGAGCCAGCTGCGCGCCCGCGCTGACATCTTGGTTTCGCGTCTGGGCGCTCCCACGCCCTGCGGGCGCGAGCCGAGGAAGTGCAGGGGGAGGGATCCCCCCCGGAAACGAGCGGCGTGTTTCGGAGGGGACGGGCGACGGCCGGCCGCCCTGCGCGCCCCGCAGGCGCACTCCGGGATGGGGCCGGCCGGTCTGCTGTCGCCCGTCGCTGGGGTGTAGAGGACGCAGCCCCTCCTCTGGGGAAAAGGGTTGGGGAACGGGCAGGAAGGGAGCCTCGGTGGGGCCTGTAAGCGCCCCCAAGCGGATGGGGATGTCCCAGGAGGAGTGAAGGAGAAGCGCCACGTTACTAACCCAAGTTTGTAAAGGAAGATGCCAGGGCAGCGGCGCCTCTCGGAGTCCCTAGCTGCCTGCACTGGCGGAGATCCCCGGAGGCGGCGTGTCCTGAGCCGGAATACCCCAGGGGAGGGGAGGGGCCAGAGCGTTAGCGCAGAGAGACCGCATCTATGAGGTTTAGTATGCTCGGCAGCCGAGAACTCGAAGTTCTCATTTGAGCCAAGAAAATGAAAGTGTGGGCGATGCTTTAGACGGTGCTCAGCACCTCAGAATCTGAGCCCGCAGTGCTCGCAGAGCTCAGACGCAGTCACCACCCTGAGCCACCTCCATTGTGCAAAGGTAGGAAAGCAACAAGACACCAGCCAACTTGCAAAGGAGGCCGGGAAGTCCCGTCTTACCTGAAATAAGACCATCAGTTATAACTAACTGTAGTAGAGGAGAGGGAGAGGTTGCTATAGTGCAAACAAGGAAGAGTCCACGGACCTGCTGTATATCCTTCTGGGTCATTTTTGGAATCTTCAGTGCTGGGCATGGTGGCCCACGCCTGTAATCCCAGCACTGGGAAGGCTGAGGCAGGAGGATCGCCATGAGTTGGAGGCCAGGCTGGACTACATAGTGAGTTTAAGGTCAGCCTGAACTGCACAGCGAGACCCTGTCTCAAGAAAAAAAGATCATCTAGGCAGCTTCAGAAACAAAAGGAAACTTTCTCTTCTAGAATCCCGGCAGGATAGCACAGTGACTCTAGTCCAAGCGCCTTGCATTACTGTAAATGAAGGTACTGAGGACCTCTCACCTGGAGAAGGGAGGGGACTGGAACTGAGGTCAGGGAGGCCCGGTGCACTCCAGGATGACCAGGAGGGGCAGGAGAAGGAGGAGATGTTCCTGGCCCCAGGCTGGTCCTCAGGAACGACAGTGAAGTGGGATAAGTCAGCACTCTCTGTGCCCTTCTGCTCTGTGAGGGGTGCTCTGGCTTGTCCTCACCCCCGCCCAAGACCCCGCCCATCTGGGGCCTCCTTCCTCTTGGGACCCCCTTTTCCACCCCACCTCTCTTCTTGGGCCTGAACAAACACACCCACCCCTTACTGCCAGCCTCTAGCCCTGATTTTGCCCCCCCCCCCTCATTTTGCAGGGCCCACACCATTCCTTTTGTTTGTTGGTAGGTTTTGGCTCTTGGTTTGTTTGGGAGTCGTTTGTTTGTTTGCTTTAAGGGGGATCTTGTTCTGTAATTCAGGCTGGGCTTGAACTCATGGCAGTCCTCCTGCCTCAGCCTCCCAAATGCTGGGATTACAGGTGGGCACCCCCTCCATTTGTTCTTACTAGCCTCACTGTATCTAACACCTGTTTCTTCTGGAGTTACCCTCTTGATGCTGTCCTCCACCCAGGAGACCTTTGGAAGCTTGTGGAGGGCAGCAATTCACATCCCATCCCTTCTTCAAAACCTTTTTCCTGTGAAATACTAGCAGCAGGTTCTGGGTGAGAATATATGCTCAAAAGTCTTGGACTTTACCCTGCTATATCTTCTGTTCTTTTATTGTCATCAGTAGTAAGAACAGGTTAGAGAGCTCCCTGGATGCCCTTGGCTCAGAGCTTGAAGCACAGTATCATCCTACAGGAGACCCTCTAGTGAGAATTCCCCTTCGACAAGGCATTGGTCAGGGGTGATCTCAGCTGTGCTTGCGACACTCCCATTACAACCAGGGCCTCTCTGATGTCAACAGGAAGTAAGACCGGTGTACTTGGAGCCAAGTCAGTTCCATAGAAGAAAGTTCACAACCCTGGCTACTCTAGCCCACACTACCCTCCCGGCAAGAACCCAGTGCCGAAAAGAGGCTGTGGGGACTTGAGTCGTAGAGCTGCAACCTTTGGGCCAAAGGAAGAAGTGCAGAAGCCCGCCTGCTTGGCATGTGGGACAGGCTGTACCAGGAAGTTGCCTGTGCAGCTCCAGTGGAGCGAAGCCTGGTCTGAAGCCACCTTTGGTGCAGGCTGAATGGCGTGTCACAGTGCTTCGCTCAGGACGTCTGAGACACGGAGGGTTGGCCCGAGGACTCTCGCCAAGGAGTATTGATTGACACTGTAGGGATTACCCTTCCCCTCCTGCCCATGGTGACTGGACTGCTGATGTCCATCCGTCCCCACACCTGCTACCCTGCAGTGGGTCACGGCCCTGTGCCAGGATGGAGTGGACAGACCGACTGCCTTCCCTCGGACAAACCTTGACTCTGAACCAAATTGGGTACTGGGTTCAGCTGTGCCATTGGGACATGGCTTCACTCTTGCCTTACTCATTTGTTTATTTTGATACTGAGGACTTAACCCAAGGCCTCATTCATGCCAGGCAAGTACTCCACCACTGAGCTGCACTGCAAAGCCCTGAGACGTGATTTTACTTTTTGTTGTTTGTTTGTTTTTTGGGTTTTTTTTGTCTTTTTGAGACAGGGTCTCACTGTGCAGTTCAGGCTGGCCTTGAACTCACTTTGTAGCCCAGGCTGACCTCAAACTCACAGTGATCCTCCTGCCTCAGCCTCCTGAGTGCTGGGATTACAGGCCAGGCATGCGCCACCACGCCCGTCTATGATTTTACTTTGAATGAGGGTTGATAGTCGGATTCCTTCTTGTTTTCCTAACTCCTAGCCACATGTCTGAAATTGCTCCTGACTCTGCTCTCCTTAGGGTCACGGCGTGTGCTGAGGTGGCCCTGTGCAGACAGTCGAGAGAAGCCTAATGATTCTGGCTTTGCTGTCTCTACCCATTGCATGCAGATCCAGGGGTGGTGATGAGATCGGGGTAGATGGAAATCAAGGGCTGCCCCAGAAGCCCTTTTTTAGAGAAGCCCTGGTTTCCTCAAGGGCCCTGTGTCTATGCTGACTTTTTAGGATGAGCCTGTGGAGTGGGAGACACCTGATCTTTCTCAGGCTGAAACTGAACAGAAGATAAAGGAGTATAATGGCCAGATCAATAGCAACCTCTTCATGAGCCTGGTGAGCTGATGGCGCGGGAAGAGGGCACGGAGGGGGCGGGGACCTGGCCACATGGCGAGGGCCCTGAAGAGGCACAGCTGAGACATTATTCTTGGGTGGGGCCAAGCCACAGTTTATGTATGCCCAGCCCCAAGGAGACAAGAAGAACCCCGGACTATTCTGTCTCACCGGGATTCTCCCATCACTCTTTGGTTTCTCTTTCTCTTTAGAACAAAGATGGCTCCTACACGGGCTTCATCAAGGTTCAGTTGAAGCTGGTACGTCCTGTCTCAGTACCCTCCAGCAAGAAACCACCCTCCTTGCAGGATGCCCGGAAGGGACAGGGGCGAGGCACAGCTGTGAGACGCCGCACCTCCTTTTACCTGCCCAAGGACGCTGTCAAGCACCTCCACGTGCTGTCACGCACGCGGGCGAGTGAGGTCATTGAGGCCCTCCTACGGAAGTTCTTGGTGGTAGATGATCCCCGCAAGTTTGCACTCTTTGAACGGGCTGAACGTCATGGCCAGGGTAAGCTCCCTCCCCACCCCAGCCCGAGTGAGGGTGTATAGACGTGTTCCGGTGCATGCAGGGGCTGCAGTAGCTGGGCCTGCCTCTGCTCACGCACTCCTCTCCCTTTCCTGGCCTTCAGTGTACTTCCGGAAGCTGTCAGATGATGAGCAGCCCCTCCGGCTCCGGCTCCTTGCAGGGCCTAGTGAGAAGGCCCTGAGCTTCATCCTGAAGGAAAATGACTCTGGGGAGGTAAATGTGAGTACATAATCTTCTTTATATTCTTGGTTGTTAGTGGATAAAGCTAATGGGCTGTAGGTACAATAAGACTTTGAGAGGAATTGAACTGGAGGATAAGCCCTACAAAGCCTCTCCGGGAGTAGAAGGCCTTAGGTAAAGCAAAGGCTTCCGGGCCGCTCATGGTAAGGCCCAAGCCAGTGCTAGGAACCAGGAAGACTTGCCTTGGTGCCTTGCTCTTTCCTCGTGTGGAACATTCTCTGGAGATGCAGGAGTCCATCTAAGGGCATGGGCAGCCCAGGACAGCGTGAAGATTCCCCTTTAAGTGTTCGACTTCTTGCCTAGTGGTGAGGGGTATAGCTCAGTGGTAAAGTCTGTACCTAGCAGAAGGCCCAGGATTCATTCCGTAGCACCAAAGCTTATGGGGCAGTGTCGACTTCAGTGGTAGAACGCTTGCTTAGCATGTTTGATCCCTAGTCCTGTTTTGGTTCTTTGTTTTGTTTTGTTTTGGTCTTTTGTTTTTTTGCCTTTTTGAGACAGGGTTTCACTATGCAGTTCAGGCTAGCCTGGAACTCACTTTGTAGTCCAGGCTTGCCTCGAACTCACAGCGATCCCCCTGTGTCAGCCTTCTGAGTGCTGGGATTACAGGCATGAGTCACCATGTCTAGTCCTATTTAAAAAAACGAAAGTTTCTTTTTACTTAAACACTACATATTTGAAGATAAGTACAGTCTGACTCAGTGAGATGACTGTTTTTTATATGCTCCCTCTTCTATACAGCCTACTATCAAGAATCCTAGCACAGACTATTCAAGAAAGAGCTTAATATGAGAAAGCCCAGTTTTAGCTCTTGTGACCATTATATCCTGGCTTTCTCGACGGGGGTGGTGCCTACTTGGCCATGCCTTCTATATCCTGCATACTTCCCTTGCAGTGGAATGCGTTCAGCATGCCGGAACTGCACAACTTTCTGCGTATCCTGCAGCGAGAGGAAGAAGAACACCTCCGACAGATCCTGCAGAAGTACTCCCGTTGCCGCCAAAAGATCCAAGAGGCCCTGCATGCCTGCCCCCTGGGGTGACCTCTTACATCCCTGGCTGGCAGGAGGAGAGCAGGCAGTGCCAAGAGCGTGCTGTGTGAGTGTGACAGGGCCCGTGGGGCCTGAGGAATGAGTGTGCGCGGAGGCCCTCCCCTGATGGGGAGAACAAGCCCAGAGAACAGCAGAGGAGCTGACCCCCCGTGTCCACCAATGGGTGTAGCAGGACACGGCTTTGCACCCCTCTGCCTCTTATGTACTGGGTTACAGCAGGTTAAGGCTGCTCTGGGCAGCTGCCCCAGGCTTGCAGCAGAGGTGGAGGAGGTAGAAGTCTCCTTAATGCAAGTCTCAGATGTGAGAATCTCAAAGACCCTACAAACAACAGGGTGATGTTTACAGGGAGGAGGGCCCTCAGCTGTGGGGAAAGGTTGTGTTCTGGGTCTTGGATAAAGTCTCAGGAAAGCTCATCAGAGCCAAGAGTGAGTGTTCAGAATAAGGTAGGCACTGAGGTAGAGTCTAGGTTTCTCTTTATAGTGCCTTCTTAAGGTCAGGGAGTGTTGATTCACAGTGCAGTAATAGTGCCTCAGTGCCTCCGCCAAGAAGGATGTCCCTGGGCCCGACCAGGCTCTTCATGAGTGAGGGCAGGGGGCCAGGCCCGTTCCTCATGTACCATCAAAGCCAGGTCTCCCTTGTTTGTTTGTTTGTTTGAGGCAGGGTCTCACTTTGTAGTGCAGTCTGGCCTTGAACTCAGTATGTAGCCCAGGCTGGTCTCAAACTCATGGCGATCCTCTTGCCTCAGCCTCCCAAGTGCTGGGATTACAGGTGTGTGACACCACACCTGGCTCCCTCAGATATCTTTGATGAAACGTATGAATGTACTGTGTGATGTTTTGTGGCCTCAACTGAACGCCTCCTGTGGGGAAAGGGATGCGGGAGTGGCACCATCAGGGCCTGAGGCCTGAGAAAATTGGCTAAATAAAGATTTTTAATTCTTTCTGCTTTTGTTTTGGTTTGGTTTTTTGTGACAGTCTTGCTGTGTAATAATGCAGGCTGGGCTTGAACCCAAGGAGCCCAGGCTATCCTCAAACTCAGTGATCTCCCTGTCTCAGCCTCCCAGAAGCTGGAATTACAGGCCTGTGCCACCATGCCCAGCTTCCTCTTGCTTTTGGACTCTATTTGTGGGCCTATAGCTGTGGTTGCTGCCCATGCCAGTAGCTGCCATGGGTGATGGACAGGCTTTCCATATCTTTTTTTTTTTTTCGGTCTTTTTGAGACAGGGTCTTGTTATGCAGTTCAGGCTGGCCTTGAGTTTACTCTGTAGCCCAGGCTGGTCTCAAACTCACAGAGATCCTCCTGCATCAGCCTCCTGAGTACTGGGATTACAGGTGTGCACCACCACACCTGGCTATGTATCCTTTCCAAGGTTGACGTGGGAGTAGTATGTGAAAGAAATGTGTGTATATGTCATCCCTCAGCACCTTGAGGTTCAGGTCACAGTGGAAGCAAGAATAATCTGCAGCTAGAATTTAGGGAAATCATTCTCTTAACACACACCAAGCTCTGAGAAGCTGTGGCATAGCTCCTTCATCTGCTGCTGTGGACCAGGCTGTGTACATGGCACCAAGGGTAGAGCTGTTGAGGATGCGTGTATTCTAGTGAGTTTGGAAGGAACACAATTTGAAGTTCTTCAGACGTCAGTGTAACTACAACCCATTTGGCAAATAAAGCAAAAAAGGCATGGGCTAGCTCTTAATTTTCCTTAGGCTGAGGTTTTGTGTTTGTTTTCGTTTTTGTCTTTTTGAGACGGCCTCGTTATGCAGTTCAGGCTGGCCTTGAGCTCACTTCGTAGCCCAGGCTGGTCTCGAACTCATAGCAATGATCCTCCTGCCTCAGCCTCCGGAGTGCTGGGATTACAGACGCGCGCCACCATGCCCGGCTAGGCTGAGTTTCTTTACATTTAACAGTAATGATCACAAAAACATGGAAGCCAGATGAGCTCTCCGTGGCCTGCCCTGGAGGTCAGGCCCTGAAGTGCCGGTTTGAGATAACCGGGTTGAGTAGGTCGGCTTAGCTCTGGCGATGGATCAGGGACTTTGAACTGCTTTACGGGGTAACTAGTCTGCGGAAAACACCGCCACGGGGCTGGGGATTTAGCTCAGCGGCAAAAGCGCCTGCCTGGCAAGCGCAAGGTCGTGAGTTTGGTTCCTGGTACCGGAGAAAAACCAAAAAAAAAAACAAAAACAAACACAAAATACCGCCACCGCTGGGGAGGGACCCGCCTTCGGGGGTAGGAGCTTGGCCTGCTGGGACCTGTGGTCTCGCAGCGCATGCTGGGATGCCCAACCTCTGGGCACAGCCGTTGCTCCTGGCTCACGGACGGACAAGGCCAGTGACCAATCAGAGGAGGCGCGGTGCAAGCCGTGCGGAAGCGGAAGTGAGGTTTCCGTGGAGACAACCCGGCCTGCGGAAGGCGGCGGTGGAAGCTGCAGCACCACCTGCGAACAGAGGCAGGGCCCGGGCATGGTGGCACAGTCTGCACTGTGAGGGCGCAGCGGCCGCTGGGTCGCCATGCGCCGGCGACCCTGACATGGGCGCCAGCGGCTCCAAAGCTCGAGGCCTTTGGCCTTTCGCCTCGGCGGCGGGGGGCGGCGTCCCCGAGACTGCGGGCGCTGAGCAAGCTTTGGTGAGGCCTCGAGGCCGAGCGGTGCCCCCCTTCGTGTTCACGCGCCGCGGGTAAGGGCGTGGGTTCTGCCGCGGGGAGCACGCAGGCGCCCGGCCACGTCGCGCCTCGGGAGCCTCTGCCGCCGGACCCCTGTGTCCGAGCCAGGGCGAATCCTGCGTCTCGGGCCCCGATCCGAGCAAGGGGTGGGGAACGCCGGGCGTTCGGCCTGTGGGCCTGGCTGTCCCGCAGGCCTCCCTGGGGAGGAGTGGGCTTGAGGCCGTCCCTGGGCGGGCAAGATAAGGCCTCCGCGAGAGCTCGAGATCGCGCTTTCATCCCAACTAACTCAGCCTGCACGTTGAGGATTATCACCTCCTCCCTCCTCCCAGGTCGTCCAAGCGGGGAATGGTCTTTGACTTGGGGTTCTCCCCTTCCCCACGGTAGTGGAGGTCGGACCTCTGAGAATAGAGACTGGGAAGGCAGGGGTGGTGGGCCCAGGGTGGAGAGTGAGGCCAAGCGAAAAAGCGCCTCCGGGTTGTGGTCTCCAGGGCTGCAGCGTGATTTAACCCCTGTTGCTACAAGGACCTACCCAGGATCAGCAGAATCGCCTGGCCCTGCTGGGCCCCGGGGGATGTCCACTCCCGGTGGTGGGGCTTGAGAGACCCAGCAGGGTGCACGAAGCTTTCCCCGCTGTCAGCCCCTGCTTAGCTTGGACATCAGCGCCCTCAGCCTTTGGCACTGGGCCAAACGCTGGAGTAAGACCAGGGCCCCGGCCACTGCCTCTCAGAGGAAGGGCTTAGTGCTAGGACGGCTGCTGCTGCTGCTGAAGCGGCTCTGACGGCCTGGACAGTGTGCTCTGATCCGGCCTCTCTTCTGGAGAGTGCGATGGAGTGACACTGGCATTCCTCCACCCTCCCTTTCCTTCTCATGCACCCGAAGCTCAGCTGAAGCATTTCCCAGGCACGCCCTCCTTACACCAAGACCTCCCCCCCAGCTTGGGGCTCGCACGCTTCCCTGCGGTCTGCGATGTTTGCTGTGACTGAGACCCAGCCCAGTCTGTTCCCATCTCTGTCCACGCAGCTCCATGTTCTACGACGAGGATGGGGATCTGGCGCACGAGTTCTACGAGGAGACAATCGTCACCAAGAACGGGCAGAAGCGGGCCAAGCTGAGGCGGGTGTATAAGAATCTGATTCCTCAGGTGAGGTGCTGGGCAGTGGTTACAGGGCCAGCCTCAAGCATGGGGCCTCCAGGGGGTGGGCCAGGTAGGCACGGGAAGCTTCCTAGAGCAGAAACCCTAATGTGACCCTCACCAGCCTCCGTTTCCATGGCAGGGCATCGTGAAGCTGGATCCCCCCCGCATCCACGTGGATTTCCCTGTGATCCTCTATGAGGTGTGAGCCTGGTGGGTGATGGACACAAGCACCGCCCAACCCAGTGAGAAGCTTACAGGCTCAAGGTGTGGCTTCCATGGAGGAACCCAGGCTTGGGCCACAACCCTGAATAAACTGTTGGCCCGGAACCTTCAGCTCTGAGCAGGGCAGTCCCTCCGTGTACATTGGGTATTGGTTTGTGTGTGGATGAGAGATGGTTGGTGGCTGGCATAGGCTAATGGCAGAGTTACCAACACAACTTCCCCAGCCACCCTGCGAGAAGCCTGGCAGGGCATGTGCCAGTCAGGAGTCTGTGGTTCCTGCTTCCTTGCCCGGCCTGCTTCCTTCCAAGCTTGCCTAGGGCCTGGCCCTACTAGAAGCTACAGCACTTTACAAGCAGTCTGCCTTCTGCCAGCCCCTGGGCTTTGGGAGCTCGACATAAGCAGGACCTTCCTCCCCCTCACTTCCTCTCTCTCCCAGTCAGAGCATTTCAGCCGTTTGCTACCTCGATTCCTCCTGTGTCGGACAGAGGCTGGGGACAGCACCAGCCTGATCTTCCCACCCACCTGGCATTTGTTCCCGCTTTCAGATGGACGGTGCGCTGGCTGTTAACAGGAATGGGGACTGGTATGGGTAGTTCTCCCTCTCCCAGGGCTTGGCTAATTCCTCCTCAGGAACTAGTGATTGCCCTCTCCTTGGTTAAGAGGGTGCAGGCCCGAGTCAGGACAGGCTGTGGATGCCTATGCCCGTGGGGAGTTGCCCCAAGCCACCCATTCTAACCCCCCTGCCTCTGTACCAGACACCCTGAACCCCAGTCTGGAGGGTCCACTATCCTGTCGTAAGGAACAACACACCAGGGCTGGTGCCAGCAGTGCTGTGAGGAGCACACCGTTCTTCCCTACAGTCTCCTCACCCCTTCTGGATCAGTCAAGGGAAAGTACTAGGGCCCCTTGGTAGGGACAGAACGGAGAGCAAAAACAAAAGGAATACTGTACTTAAAATGTGAAGATTTGTAAATAGTCTAGTCCATGATGACGTTGGGGCAGAGTCTGATTTCTATATAGAAACAACTCTTTTTCTTTTAATTCCTTATTGTGCAAGCTCTGTGCTTCTAGCGTGGGAAATGGCTTGGGGATGGTGCTCCCCGGCATAGGAAGACTGTTGTGTTACTTGTTCGATTCCAATAAAATTATTTGTAGATCCTGTATGTGAGAGTGGCATCTTCTGGAACTGTGGTACCCAGTGCTTAGGCTAACACCTGGTTATCTAGGAGCCCTCCTAGATACACTGGGCCTGCGAGTCTGGTGCCTCCTCTCCAGCTCCAGCCAAGTGTAATTTCATGCCTGTGGCATTCCCAGCCATGCCCAGCAGGTGGCTGTATATTCACACCAGCCTCACCACTGGCCCCTCAGGATGAGTGGGGCACACACCTGTTGACTGTTACGTTCTGTGCGGTGGGGACTCCTGGAATCAGCCTTTAGGGTATTTCACTAGGGATTGGCCCCACTGGTCTGGCATGTGACCCAAGGCAGTTCTTTTGTTTGTTTTTAGTTTTTTGACACACATCTTGTTAGCTAGTCCAGGCTAGCCTTGAACTCTGTCTAGCCCAAGCTGGTCTCAAACTTCTGTTTCGCCTGCGTCAGCCTCCCTAGTACTGGAATTACATAACCAGGCAGATAGTTGTTTTTGTTGTTTTGAGTAGTTTTGTTTTGTTTTGAGACAGGATCTTGCTATGTAGGTAGTTCAGGTTAGCCTTGAACTTACAGCATAGCCTAGGCTGTCCAACTCAAGGTGATCCTCCTGCCTCAGCCTCCTAAGTGTACCACCACACACCCAGCCAGATCTTAAAATAGTTCTTCTGGTCCTGATACTGCCAGCTGACCTCCAGTGAGGTCAGGGCATGAACCTCACAGACCTCAAAGGCCCAGCTTTAGATGGACAACAGCTAGACACGGGCCACCATGTCCTTGGCCTACAGCCAGGCTCTGTAGCCCAAACTCACCTGCCTCCCAGAGACCACTGAATGAGTGAGCTCAGAGGTGCTGTTCTGCTGGGTATGGTGGTGCACACCTGTAATCCCAGCACTCGGGAGGCTGAGGCAGGAGGATGACCTCAAGTTTGAGGCCAGCCTGGGGTACATAGCAAGTCAGACTCTGTCTCAAATCCCCCTCCAAAAAGCTGCTGCTCACAGGCAAGGCTCAGTCCCAAATACTTCACTGCCAGCTATAGACATGCAGCCTACACTTTGTTTTTTTTTTTTTTTTTTTTTTTGGTGACGTCTCACCATGTAACTCAGACCAGCCTTGAACTTACTATGTAGTCCAGGCTAGCACTGAACCGGTGATGATCCTCCTGTCTCAACTTCCCAAGTGCTAGGATTATAGGCGTGTGCTACCACACCTGCCTCTGCCTACACTTCCTTGGCCAGCTGGGAGGTAGGTTCTCTAGCAGGCTTAGCTTTTGGCCATCAGTTCCTCTCAGGGAGAAATTCGAGAGCCCAGGCTTCTGGGTCTGGGCACTTGATCTTCCAGTTTGAACTTGGCACACCGGGAGCAAGACCGCCCTATGCAGCCAGGGCTTGGGCTCCTACACCATGGCGTCTTTATCTCACTCTCACACACAGACAGGCACTGTCCCAGCCTGGGGGAACTCCCTGTACTGGGCCTCCCCAGCTGACCCCAGAGCTGGAAACAATGGGAGTCAGGGCAGTGCTTCCTCACTCTCTCCAGCTGGGCCGGGCTTCCTTCCTGCTGGCTGCCTGCGGAAGTGTCCCTGCCCTGGGATAGTCTGGTGTAGCCTGCCTTTGTTTTCCCAGGGGTCCTACCCTTGGAGGCCTCTGTCCCTCACCATGTCCTGGACACTTGGGTCCTCAGGGCCTGACTCCGGGGTGTGTGCCCTTCTGTTAGGAGAAGAACCCTGAGAGTGGTGGGGGTAGGCTCAGCGTGACTGGCGGGTAGGCAGATTTGTCTGCACCTCTGCTGATGTCTGTTGGAACACTGCTGTGGTCTTCTCGGGAAGCAGCCACATTACAAGCTCCCCCTCCCATAGGAACACACCTCCGTACCCCTGTTGTTACGAGCTCCAGCTGTGCACATCGGGCTCCAAAATCCTACAGGAAAGTAGCCTGCAGGCCTTCCCAGCACCTGCCCACCCCCATTCCACAGTCGTACTAGCACATCGTATTGTCACACTTGGGGTGCTTCCACTCTCAGCTCTTGGAAGCCCCCCAACTTCTGTCCCCTTCCCACGGCAGTTCCCTTTGGCACCTGCTGTAGGGGACCGTCAGCCCAAACACCCCCAAGTAATCTGACTCCCCAAAAGACCCCCACCTGGGCCCCCGTCATCCTACTGGACTTGAGATGGCCCCAGTCCCAAGGGAAAGTTGGGGGGAGGTTCCCCAGTGTTGCGGGGATGGTGGGCATGGGGGAAGCTGACGCCACAGCCCAGGCCCATGGCCTTCCTTTCCCCTGGCACAGCTGGTGAGGACAGTTGTTACGCAGATAAAGAGTGGGAAAGACAGCCAGCCAACAGGGCATACCGGAAGGAAAGAGATCAGGCAGTCTCTTCCCCGCGCCAGTTCCAGGGCCTTTCCTCTCAGAGGGGCGGCAGGAAGTGAAGAGAAGGGGCTGGGATGGGAGGCGGGGGCGAGTGGGAGGGAATGGGGCTTATCAGGTCCCCGGCGGGCTGCCCGGCGGGCAGCAGCTGGCGCAAGGAGCCGGGCTGGAGAGGTTCTCCACAGGAAGGCGCGCGGCCGCCGCCCTACTGGCCCCCGACTCCCACGCAGGTGAGCAGGGCGCGGCGGGCTGGTGCTCTGCACCGCGCTCCGTGCTCTCCGGCGCGGGGGCGGAGACTGGGCCGGCGAGCAGGCGGCCCTGTGGGGAGCTTAGTCCCGAAGAACCAGCCGATCTAAGAGGCGAGGTCTCACGCCGCGCTTGTCGCGGTGCGCTTCCACGCCTGCTCCCCACAGAGGACCTTGCGAGGCGCGAGGGCTCAGGCCGTGGGAGGCAAGCCCCCGAGATCCCAGGCGTGGCCAGAAACTTCTGCTGGAGTGGCACCTTCCTTGGAGTTGAGCGGGGCTCCCCAGGAGTCCCCCCAGGCCGGGCAGCAGAGGACCCCAGGGATCGGCCGGCCCCTGTGCTGGTCGAGGGAAGGGAGGCACCGACTTCCCGCGGCGCCGCTGACTTTCTCTGCCCCAAGCCTGCGGGCCAGGCTGAGCCCCTCAGCCCGAGTTGCTAGGACAACCGCGCCTCGGCTCCGGGCCCCTCCCTACCAACCGGCTGGGGCTGGGGCGGGTCCTCGGACCCGGCGCGAGAGGGGATCCAGAGTAGTAGGGGCGGGGCACTGCTGCCCCGGAGGCCCCGATCCTCCGAGGTCGCAGTCCCGGAGTGCACACCAGCGGGCCCAGGACGGCCGCCCACTTTGGGGGACGCAGACCTAGATCCTCAGCGGCCCCCCGCCGAGGCTTGGGCTACCGCAGCGCCTCCTGTCGGCCGAGCCGGGAGATGGCCTTCCCCGCCTCCCGGCTCCCGTTGCGTCCCTGTCCCTTTAAGGGGCTGGCCGCCCGGAGGACCATACCACCGGCGGCGGCCGTGGGGGGGCCGGGCTCGGGCCGGCGCGCTCTGCGGGCCGAGGCTGCAGCCAAAAGCAC